TGTGCACAAAGAATATCGTCATGTTGCTGTGATTTATGATTCATTGAATACCACTTTATATTGTGGTCGATTGGCATCATATTTATACACCTTATATGTGGTATTTTGTCCCTCAACTTCTATAGACTCTTCAACCATGGGAGGTATCTTTTGAATTTCCTCAACAAACTTCCTAAATATACCATGGGTGTATAACTTAGCAGCTTGTTTTTCATAGGGGAATGTCGTTCTCACCATTGGAATTACCTTCAGTGCTCTTGAAGTTTATCATATTTTCTTTCTCATATAGATGATCAGTTGCTTTCTGGCACTGTTTTGCAAATCCTAAAAAATTGGTGTGTGAATTTACATACTGTTTAATAAAACTATTCGTAGATTCACTCCGTTGACTAGGCCGTGCACCAGCAAGAAATGTATCCTTCATATATACATCAACCCACTGAGAACGACATCCATATATTGTGTCCAACTATTCATTCCCCCGGCGAGCTCATTTTTTTGAGCATTCTGGACAAACGATCCTCAAAATCATTAATTGTCTCATTATAATCAGTAGTGACTCTATGCAGCTCATGTAAGAACCGTGGGTGCTTTCGCTCAACATGGCCTAATTTTTCTTGAAACTTTCGTGAAATGTGCCATCTACATAATCGATGCCGTGCATTTGGAAGAACTTCTTTAATTGCAGCAGCTATGACTACTTCTTGATCAGCAATGATGCAACCCGGCTCTCGACCCTGCATAGCTTCTAGCCAATGCCCAAGCAACCAACTAGAAGACTCTGTTGTCTCATGCCTAATTAGTGCACAACCAAAGACTATATTGTTTTTGTGGTGGTTTGCTCCAATAATGGGGGCAAAAGGCATGAGATGTGCATTTGTCGTATATGTTGTGTAAAAAATAACTACATCGCTAAAGTACTCATGATATCCTTGATCGCGAGTCAATCCATAGCACATTACACACTTGAACTACTTCATCAAGCTGTAGTTTATAAAAAAACTATGGTTCACCTAAACATGCTTACGAAAGTAGGCCAAAAGAGCCTTCCCATCCATCCCTCTAACACTCGCCTTCCTACGGGTGCTATGGATAAAGTTTTCGACATTTACGTGAGTGAAGCCTAGAGCATTTGACTCATTCACATGTTCTGTTAAAATTTGCATAATTTTAAGCACACCAAACCTTGTTGAAGACATTGCTTTAATCAAGTTCATGGTAGTTGTTGGGATGCGCCGATGTGATCTCAAATGATGTACCTTTGATGGCGATGTAAACGTCTTGGAGTGCTTCTCAACAAATTTTGTTACAACCCACTTTTCCCCTTTCATCCTGCGTACCCTTAATATTGCTTTGCATCTTTCCCTTGTTATTGGTCGAGGATGAATTTTTCCTGCATACTTTGGATCACGTTTGCCTTCGTTTGAGCAAACATAATCTCACATCCTCAAATTGTTGTCTTTGTCCTTTCTTGGCCTCTCAAGACGAATGCTAGCATTTTCGTTGGGCATGTGCATTGTAAAATTGATACACAGCATCCTCAGATTCAAAGTTCATTCCTACGAATAAGTCCTTTTGATGCCCACTATTGTCTTGTTGATCACAAAACAGTGGTACCTTATTGTCGTCACCATCCCCAATTGCTATGACATTATTATTACTCGCATCCATGAACTTGTCTGTATAAAACTTATCCTAGTCCATCTTATAGGATGAATAAGGTGTACGAGTGCCTCAAAATGGGTATATAAGCCTCAATAGGCTCCATATTAGCAAAAATGTCACCACTTGAGCACCCTTCTCCATGATATCCATAACTTTTAATCAGTAATACCTAAACATAAGTAATGAACACAAATTCATTTCTATATCACATAGACACAAAATTTAAGTATAAGCAGGAATTTCAAAATAAATCTATACCTAGCAGAACAATAAATAAAAAATAGTAACTGGAAATTGTGTTATATATTGATAACAAAACAACTAAAAAAATTTAAAATTCACTACTACAAATCACAATAAGAGAGGAAGAGATAGAGAGGGAGCGCTTGAAAAATCACCAAAATAAAGATTTTTTTGATGAATGCCATAAAATTTTTTTTATTAGATTACTCTTCTTCTAATCCCAAAAAAAAAAGAATGTCCATCATTCTTCGAGGAAGAACTAGCTCTCTCTCTCTAGACTCCATAAGCAAAAACACACATCAAGGATAAAACTAGCTCTCTCTCTAGACTCCTACTTCTCACTAAGTACTCAATGAATAATAAATTAATCGTGCTAATATATAGTAAGCAACAACAGGTCACTCAATTAAAAAAAAAATGATCTTATGAACTCACTCAATCAAAAAAATGGTCTTCTGAACTCTTTACCATTTACCACTTCATTTATTCAGGCTAAAATTAGGTCGTTTATAAAGCTGTAACTAGTACCATTGTTGGCAAGCTGCCACAAATTTAAAGCAGCAAAAGATTTTCTCTAAACACTGAGCCAACTCTTAATAATTTCTTCCGTCCCTAGTAAAACAAGGAAAAATTACAATGACATCATAAAAAACCAAAAATTATCCTCTCTCTCTCTTAAGCTCAACCAAATTGAACTGCTATTAAAAAAAAAATAATTTAGAACCCCAAAAGACCTTTACCAAATTTTAAGCAGACTAAAGGAATAACAGAAAACAATAAAGAGAACAAGCACTGAACAACGAGCAATCTACAATACAAACATAAAACTTTTAGGGTTCAATCCCTCACAAAAACCAGAAAGGCGTTGACCTAAGAGAGAAGCTTGGCAATGATCTTGAGGTCTTTAAGCCCAATCCAAAAACATTCTCAAAAATATATTTTTCGTGCATTGAAAATAAACAAAAATAAGAAACTCAATACAACTTTCTATGAAAAGAAATACAATCCCAAAACCTACTTGATTTTTGTCAGCAAAATCCCCTTTTGTCAGAGGCCTTGAATGGGTATACAATCTGAGGAGAGCTTAAAATCTATCTCTTATAAACTCTATCTTCTTCTCTAGTTTGCTTGTTATATTCTCTTCTCTGCATTTTTTTTCTTGATCAATGGTTCTCCTTCTTCTCCCGTGTTGTCTCTCTCTTGGCTTTCCCCATTTCTCTAGCGAGCACTCTCTCTCTCTGCTTCCCCTTTTCTCCAGTGCGCTCTTTCTCTCTGCTTCCCTTTTCTCCAACGCTCTCTCTCTCTCTGCTTCCCCTTTTCTCCAGCGCCACTCTCTCTGCTTCCCCTTTTCTCCAGGGCTCTCTTTCTCTGCTCCCCTTTTTCTCCCACGCGCGCTCTTTCTCTAATATGGGAAATGTTTATTCCTTCCTCTCTTGTACGGACTATTTAGATATATGGTTACCGGTTGAGCCCATGCCCCTCTTTTGTGACAACTTAAGTGAATTAACCTGGGCCCTGCATTTTAAATCAATGGTTAAAAACGTGGGGGAGGATATAACTTCTATGTTGTAGGGGAAATATAGAAAGTTTTCCCTCTTTTTTAATATCATTGGAAGGATACCAAGTATAAGGATCAGAACATTGTATAGGTGCAAGCTAAGGATGGAAGATTCTTCCATATTTAATATTATCCTTTTGCTTTACAATAAATAAACGGCAGTTATAATAATAAAGTGGATTTATTGAAGCTAAGTGTTTCCATATGGTAGATATTGACGTTATTATACTCATTAGTTATATTCCCCTAGCTCTTCAGATCATAGCAGCCATTAGCAGTTCATGCCATCTTGTTGGTTATCCACATATTCTTATGTTTCAAGCATTGTTGGATCTGCATACTTTCTTCCCATAGATCTAATTCCTTGGTTTTTATGTTTATGCTGGCACATTCAATCTCTTCTTTTTTTTGTCACGAAGCTTTAGGCTCTCTCCCCTTTTTTCCTTCTCTCTCTCTCTCTCTCTCTCACCCCATTTTTATCTACATATCATTGATTGATATGCTTTTATATAAATGTAATTTTGTTTTGTTTGCTTGCTCTCATGCTTAGTTTTAACTTTTTCTATTTAAATTGATTTATCTTTGTTACTCCTTTATGAGATCTCATATATCTTCAACATGTAATGATGGTTCCATATGCAATAGGAAATTATGAACAGATCACTTTTTTTTTTTCTGAAGATGTCAACTGTTGTGAATAGATCCTTTTCAAGTCAAGAGAACCAAATATTAGATTTTATGGAGTATGACAACCTAAGTTTTGGAAATCTTGTATGGAAATTACTTCAACAAGAATCTCCTTTGAGCGAGATTTGTCTCAAAAATAAGATTTTCTTGTCTTGTAGGAACAAAATACTTCAGTGGCAACTATTTTCTTTTGACCTTTACCATGTACATAATGCGAACTTTCTTACCCCATTACTCTTATGACTTCTAGGAGAGTTGGGATGTGCCTTGGTCATTGAATCCCCTCTTACGAAAGATATTGTCAAGGATCATGTTGCATTATTGACAAGTTTCTTCATCATGGTTGATTTTCCATCTCATTTTTATTTTTCTAAGTCATTGATTTGGCCAGCTACTATGGTGCTTAAGTTTGGTTTTTTTGTGGTTCATAACTTCATATTGAGTTGCTATTGTGACAGGTATATTACAGTACAAGACATTTATCTAGAGTTTCTTACAGTGCAAGATTGTTTACTATTTATTCGTGGTTTTAATGGGAGGACTTTGATTCTTTAGAATGTACAATACATGAAGAGGGTTTGTGATTTTCATGTGTAAGCCTTTGTCTTAGTCTTGATGAAGGAAATTTTCAGTATTTATTGTTAATACGTAAATTTTCATTGTTGACTCCAATTCATAGTTGTAGTAACAGGGTAAAATGATGATAACAATATTGGTGATAATGATGATGTCTAAGTTCTGAGCATGAATTTCATTGTTGCTCTGTTTAATTTAATGCATGTCATTATTTTCAATTGGAAATTACAAATGTTGTACTTATCAAGTATGGCTTCTCATATTCTTGTAGGTGAAGAGATGACTAGTTCATAAACTAGCAACGCCATGTCCATTCTTGTCTAGCAATGCCATGCCTTTTCATGTCCAGTTCTGCAATGCTAGTGGCTGACAATGTAGGATGTGCATTTCTGTAGTAGAGACAATCCTGGTAGGCAGTACTAAAAATGCAAGAATGGAACTCACTGACATCACCACCATCAAAGAACGAAATATTGATCAAGATGTTAGCTGATCGACAATCAAATTGCACAAAGGGACTTGATTTTGTTGTCATCAACATCTCATGTTTATTTTATTTTATTTTTATTTTTATTTTTCGTTTATGTTTGTTGGTGGCGGACTAGAAAAGTGAACCAAATTCTCACGTTTAATATTGTTTTGGGAAAAGCAATATATAACGATGTGAAATGAACAACATTGAAATGGACCCACAATGGCACATTGTCTTCTTCAATATACTGTTACAGCTTAAATCATCTCTGAGATATGGTATGAGACAAGTAACAACCGACAGTTCACCAGGGAGATGCTATCTCATTTTTCTCAATTCAATAAAATATGGAAACATGGCTAATTATGTTTTCCCATTCCATTTTGAGTTATAATCTGCATAAGATCTAATTGTTCTTCGGTTGTTTTTCTCTTCATCATTTTCATCTTTGTCCTGTTTATTTTCCTCTATTAACCCTAAAAATAAATGCGCACTATCGGTGAGTTGGGATAAATAAAGAAGAAACAAGCAGCTCAAGACTTGTTGCTCAAAGAAAAAAAAGAAAAAAACCCGCTCAAGATGACACGCATCAAAGTCACATAATGAGTTATATAGTCGTGAATTTATGATGATGTTAAAACAACGATTTACCATGTTAGTCATTTCATCTCTTCTCTCTCTCCATAACTTTACTTTATAGAAAGTTCGTAAATATATTTCAAAATACTAAGGTTGGTTAAAAATAAGGTTAGTTAGCAGTTTTAACTCTTGCAACCATTGAGTCTTCTAAGCAGTTTAGCGTCATGATGGACTATACATCTGACTCTTTTATGTCAATACGGGGATAGATATAATCCATCGAACATGGTGGTTGTGTCTTGAATACATCTAACTTTTTTGCGTCATACGGGGTTAGGCAGTACATGCCTCGGTTCTTTTACGTCGTACGAGTTTGACGTTTTTTCATCGAACAAGGTGGTTGTGTTTTGGGTACACCTGATTTTTCACGTCATACGGGGATAGACGGTACCTGCTTTGGCTTTTTTACGTCGCACGAGTTTGACGTTTTTTTAACGAACAGGATGGTTGTGCCCTGGATACACCCTACCTTTCACGTTATACGGGGATAGACGGTACCTGCCTCGGTTCTTTTACGTCGTACGAGTTTGACGTTTTTCTATTGAAACATGGTGGTTGTGCTTTAGATACACCTGACCTTTCACATCATACAGGTATAGATGTTACCTGTCTCGGCCCTTTTACGCGACTTGAACAACTACAGGTCAATCGAATCGTGACTCAGCATGTGGAATAGGAGGGTCAAATAACAGGATTTTCAAAAATTTAAGATATAACTCAAAATTGAGGTATAATTAATCAAAATAGAACGAAAGATTTTATAAACATAAATTTTTAAATAAAATGTGAAACCTTAAATTGAATTTCTAAATATAGAGGATCTATAGAAAATAACAGGGATATAAAAGTTGAGAGAATATAAAATGAAAGTATAATGAAATTGGTATTTTCAACAAGAGGCAACTAGCTCAAGAAAATATTCAGCAGACGATATAAAAGAGATTCAGCAATTCATCGTACTTTTTAAGTTAGGGTTCCTTAAAAATCTGAAACCAAAGAAAAGGTTTCCAAATTAGTTTTTATTGGTGTCATAATAATTCACATTGAATTGACATTAGTGATTATAAATACCTGCATTTCACAAACTTGGTTGTACTTTTTAAGTTAGGGTTCCTTATAAATCTGAAACCAAAGAAAAGGTTTCCAAATTAGTTTTTATTGGTGTCATAATAATTCACATTGAATTGACATTACTGATTATAAATACCTGCATTTCACAAACTTGGTTAGTCTTAGTTATGTTAAATTCACATAATGAAATACAGGCAGTTAAAATACTCTAAGTTCACATATTACTCAATGCCCGTAATTGAATTGCCTATGGTTCTTTCAACAAAAAAAAAAATGCCATGAAATGCTATTATTTTAAAACACCCCTGTTGGGTGCTTAAATATTGTTTAAAGAGAAATAATTCGTAGGAGTTCATTGTCTTAAAACAAGTGGTTTTGGCAGAGGGGCAAACATTGCTAGTTGTCCCTTTGAGATATGCTGCCAAAATCATGTGGGATTGGGCTATTTGGATTTGAAATGTTAGAAATCATCTATCATACTTGAAGAAAGCATCTTAAATGATTTTTTCCTTAAAAGAGCATTTCCGAAGAGAAGAGTACTGATAAATACCAAATAAAAAATCACCCTGCAGATGGTATCTCAATAACAATGTTTGTAATTAAGCATGCAACATTGTGACTCATAAATTGGATTTGTAGCCCACAAGAAATGTAGGATCTTCACATGAATACTCTTGTGACTATCTAGGAGTTTCTCTTACAATTACTTCATGGTTTCTACTTCCTCAAATATCAAAACAAAAACCCAACCGAACCTTACAATACTTCAAACATATACCTTACAAACTTTTGGATACATCTTGAAACTGTATTCCCAAGTGCACTGAGTCATCAATCTCTCCTCAATCAAGGTACAGATTTGCCATCTATATAAGTGTAGTCATTTGACAATAGCAGTCTCTCCCTTGTTGGGAACAGAAGCAATAGTGGGAAATTATCACTCGCCACAAGCTCCCTAGTCTAGAAGCACCCATAGATTAAATACATCAGAACAATACGATAAAATAAAAGAGTAATGATTCTATGAGACCCTCCCACACCTTTGTGTGTAGAACCTCAAAGGATCACCATTAAATATAGTACAGATCTCTAGAAAAGTTATCACATGAGTGTGATATTTGACTTTTCTAAAGATTTGTGCCATATTTAATGGTGATCTTTTGAAGTCCTACACACATGAGTGTGAGAGGGTCTCATAGGATCAATACTCAAATAAAAATACCCAGCGAATGTCTTCTTTTTTTAAGGCAACTTATTTATTCATTATGACCAGGGTTAGCAATGCGTTGAGCCTACACTATTTAGCCTAAAAGCCCAGCTTGGCAGCCTAGGGGCTAGGTGCTCAAGGGACTGGAGCCGAGCCTGGCCCATCACCACGCTGTTTGGTTTGGACCCAACCCAGCCAACTGTAAATGCTTTCATTTTGAAAAAGAAAATCAATTTCTTTTTTTGTGTAGCAAGTCTAGGAATCCTACTTGGGACATAGGGTTGCATTTTGCAACAGCTTAACCAGCCAAGACCAAGAGCAAGCCCAAATTGACAATATAATGTATTTTAGAACATAAAATTACTACTTAAAGGGCCTAATGGGCCTAAAGTACTAGGCTCGCTCTCGGCCAAATAAGCAGTGTCATGATATTATATGCCCAAGCCCAGCCTGCAGGCCTATAAGCCTTCTCCAAGTCGGGTCGGGCTGGCCAAGAGGCACATTGTCATTGCTAATTACGATCTCACAGCTACTTTTAGACAACTCATGAATTTCTTTCCAAAAAATTAATGTCTTGCTTCTTTTTGGAGGTTATATACATATCCGGATGTTCAGATGACAGCCAGCTCAGAATACAGTTTGGCTCGGCTTTTAAGGAGCCAATCCTGAGCAATATCTTACAGCTTGAAAAGCCAACCCGAGCCTGACATTTTGTATATTAATCATGCAAGCCCCTGCAGAGGCGAACTCTGATTTATTTTGTTAAATATATTATATTTAAAACTAAGAATATGCATTAATATATCATATACATGAATCCAAATGATACTTATTCACGCATAATCAAACTAAACTTGGGCTCGGCTTCTTTATGGCTTAACTTGGCTAGCTTACGGGCAAAGTAAGGTCAAGCTGAGCTCAGGCTTATCTCCAATTAACCAAGCTGAATGGTTCTAGCTCGAGTCAAGCTTAAGCATGCATATTAAGCTTGACCATTTCAAAAATTGACTCAACTCGGGTCCCTCATACCCCTATCCTTTATGACTCACGTGAAATTACGCATATGCTCTGTTCAAATCAAATAGCTACGTTTTCGATAAGTGACAAATTTCTTGTAAGACTTCATTTTATTCTCTAATATTGTCAAGTTTAGAAAATACACATGTGTGTTTCCATAAAAGAAAATATTTTAAATGGAAACCTGTAACCATAGTAGCTTCTCTCATTTTTTTCATCATTGACAATCTTAGTAACAATTATTGTTATAAGCTAGGAATTATCAAGGGATTATTGGATGGATACTTTTGTCATGTATATATAGGAAGTTTATAGGGAGTTTAATATAATGAAGCAATATTTCTATGAAATAATTCTTTGTTAGCACTACGCCATATGAAAATAAGCCATACCATGAAATATTTCTTTGTTATCATTACCTCATATAAGTCATACATAATTAAAAAATAGAAATATATGACAAACCATAAAAGTGATGAAGATTTTACTTTCAAATCGATAGGATAATCTTAAAAACAATGTAACTTTCAGATTTATTTAACTTTCTCAGGCAACTTTTAAATCAATAGGATAACCTTAAAAACAATGTAACATACAGATTTATTTAATTTTCTCGCGACAAGTGCCTCTTCTAACGCTGTTGTAAAAGGTGTACAACATTGTGTATATTCCCTCTTTGCAGGGGAATACAAAATGGAATAAGCAGATTCCCACACAATAAAAAATAGAAACATATAGCAAACGATACAAATGATGAAGATTTTCCTTTCAAATCACTAGGATATTTTGAACGACAGCATAGCTCTAAGATTTATTTAAATTTTTTCCAATAAGTAACTGTTTTGTTGCTGTTTTGGAAGGTGTACCAATTTTCCTTATTGAGGTTTTCAAGTTAATTTTTCTGGTAAAAGGTAGATTTCTACAGAAAATACAAATTAGTAAGTGATATACTACTTTTCAGTTTCAAAAAAACTTTCTTTTGAATGGTGATACCATCATTATCTGATTAAGCTCATAATTCCATGTTGAGTGGGCTCGCGATACTATGTAGGAGGGGCTGTCACCCAAATAGATCATAGAAAGCACAAAAACAATTTCAAAGCACCCCCTCCCCAAACCAATTTCGAAGCACCCCCTCCCCATTTTTCTTTTTCTTTTCTTCTTTTTTTTTTTTTTTTTTTTTTTTTGGGTGGTTCTTTCATGGGGATGGTGATACCAATAAACTATGGCCTCTCAGCATGTGAAGGCTCTCCTTATATCACGCAAGGCCAAAAGAAGAATTTATGGTACTGACTTTACTAATCCACTTTCTAAATGTTCAAACCCTCCAGATATTTT